TCTCTCTCTCTTACCCCTCTCCTGCCCTTTGGCCGAGCTCAGGCTGCCGCGCCCTGGAGAAGCTGGGCTGTAAAACATCCCCCGGGGGCTGGGGAGGTAACTGCCCCCCCCCGGGGACTCCACCCTTTGCCCCCGCCATGGAGATCACATGCCCGCGATAGCAGCCCCGGACTGTGGACCCAGGACGACAGGTTCCCGGCCCAGCTCCCTCTGCCGGCTGCTGCCCCTGCTCTGTGCCTCAGTTTCCCCCGTCTAGTTAGGTTGGGGCAGAGTCAGTGCACCCCGAAGAGCCCGAGGGACCCCCCGTGCCGGGCCAAGGCCTAGAGCGAGGAGCTGAGCGCAGGTCCCGAGCTGGGGGACGGAGGGGAGAGGTGTCGCGTGCTGGGCTGGCCAGACGTGTGGTGGGGGGGGCCCGGCCACGGGGGTGTCATGAGAATGAATATGAGGGGAAGGGATTCCAGGGCTGCCCGGGAAGCGCCCCCCCCCCCCTCCATGGGCCTGTTCAGGCTCCTGCACCCTGAGCGCGGGTGCCCCCGAGGGACCGAGCAACGGGCCAGATTCACATCTCAGCCTCTTCCCCCCCCCCCCCGGGTCAATCCGGAGTCACCCCCTTTGCTTCTCAGCCCCCCCGGGCTCAATCCGGAGTCACCCCCTTCGGATCTCAGCCCCCCCAGTTCAATGCAGAGTCACCGCCGATTGCAATGGGGACAGGGACAGGGACAGGTTGTGAGCTCAGCTCCCCTGGGGCCAATCTGGTGTCAGTCCCCCTTCGGATCTCAGTTCCCGGGGGCTCAATCCGGAGTCACTCCTGATTGCAATGGGGGCCGGGCCAGGTTCGGATCTCAGTTCCTCCCCTTACCCCCCAGGATGCACATAGCCACACCCCCTAGAATTAACCCCGCCCCGAACCCAGGTCCCGCCCTCGTGGCCCATCCGTGGAGCCCCAGCGCCACCTAGTGCCCGGTGCGGGGCTTCCCCGCAGCAGTGCCCGCCCGCCCCCCCCCGCAGGGCATTGTGGGACAGGGGCGGAGCCGGACTTGACACTTCGCTCCCAGCTGAGCGCAGAGCAGGACGGTGCATGGGGGTGCGGGGCTCTTAAAGGGCCAGCGCCGTGAAGCGGGGGGGGGCAGTCCCGTGGCACCCCCATGCCGTGGTCCACGAGCCGGGTGGCCGGCCGGCTGGCCCGGGGGGTGACGGCCAGGAGGGCGGCCGTGGCCCTGACGGTGGCGGCCCTGGGCGCCCGGAAACTGTACCCGCTGCTGCGCCGGGCCACCGCGGGCTCTCGGCCCGTGGCCCCGGGGCCCGTGGGCGCCTCGACCGGCACGGAGCCCGGGGCCACCGGCGCTGAGCCCAGGGCCACCGGCGCGGCGCCCGGGGCCGACGCGGGGAGCGCGGAGCGGGCCTGACTCGGGCCACGGCCGGCCCGTGGCTCAGTGGCCGGAAGAAGACGCCGCGCCCGGCGTCAACCGGGCTTTCCTGCGACGGCTGGTGCGCCTGCTGCGGCTCCTGTTCCCCGGCCCGCTGTGCCCGGAGACGGGGCTGCTGGCCCTGCACTCGGCCGCCCTGGCCAGCCGCACCTTCCTCTCGGTCTACGTGGCCCGGCTGGACGGGCGCCTGGCCCGCTCCATCGTCCGCAAGAGCCCCCGGCGCTTCGCCTGGCTGCTGCTCCAGTGGCTGGTCATCGCCGTGCCCGCAACCTTCGTCAACAGCGCCATCCGCTACCTGGAGGGCCGGCTGGGCCTGGCCTTCCGCGGCCGCCTGGTGGCCCACGCCTACGGGCTCTACTTCCGCGCCCAGACCTACTACCGCGTCAGCACCATGGACGGGCGCCTGCGGGCGCCGGACCAGTCGCTCACCGAGGACCTGGTGGCCTTCGCCGGCTCCGTGGCCCACCTCTACTCCAACCTGACCAAGCCGGTGCTGGACGTGGCCGTCACCTCCTACGCCCTGCTGGGGGCGGCCCGGGCCAAGGGGGCCGGCACGGCCTGGCCCTCGGCCATCGCCGGCCTGGTGGTCGGCCTGACGGCCAAGGTGCTGCGGGGCTGCTCGCCCCGCTTCGGGGAGCTGGTGGCCGAGGAGGCCCGGCGCAAGGGGGATCTGCGCTACATGCACGCCCGGGTGGTGGCCAACGCCGAGGAGATCGCCTTCTACGGAGGGCACCAGGTGCCGGGGCACGGGGGGGCTGGGGCCCGGATGCCTGGGTTCTCTCCCAGCTCTGGGAGGGGAGTGGGAGCTGGTGGTTAGAGCAGGGGGGGCGGGCTGGGAGCCCGGACTCCTGGGTTCTCTCCCCGGCTCTGGGGAGGGGAGTGGGGGCTGGTGGTTAGAGCGGGAGGGGCTGGGAGCCCGGACGCCTGGGTTCTCTCCCCGGCTCTTGGGGGGGAGTGGGGGCTGGTGGTTAGAGCAGGGTGGGGGGGTTGATCGCCAGGACTCCTGGGTTCTCTCCCCAGCTCTTGGGGGTGGGGTGTCCGGTGATTAGAGCA